GTTATTCAAGTAAAAAGCTTTTCTGGTTTTGCATAATAATCTCAGACTGCAGTTTTTAATTCTAAAAAAAATATAATAACTTTGATAAAACATGTTGAAACTACAAACAAATTTAACTCAAGCATTGTTTGGATGTCTAAATTAATTGTTTAAAATTTGGCAAAATTTCCATTGCAAATTCAGGTTATTGAGGTTCATGGGATTTACATAATAACTTCTTTTTTTTCTTTTTTTGTCAGTAATGTTCACTCTATATAAATCCTGGGGGGTGGTCACTCAAGGTAGAGGGTTACATTAAGGAGTAGTTTATATGGATAGGAGAGGAAGATAACAGGTAACTCTAGACTTGAATAGGTTAAAATTGTAGTGATCAAAGAAACATTCTCTTGAGTTGTCTTTTATACAGAGTAGTGGTTCACAGGAAGAAGCTGTTTGGAAATCCCCTTATTAATGAAATGAAATGAAATGAACCACCCTGGTGGATCCAGGTTGCTTTTTGTTGTTTACAAATAATTCAGTTTGTTTTTCATTGAGTAGAACAGAAATGGATGTTCTAACAGCTGATGGAAAAATTCTGCAGAGCTGAGTTGTTTGCATCAAAAAACTCTGTGTGGACAATGTTTTATATCATGTTAATGTTTTGCCCTACATGTTAACTGTGAGTAAAAATGAATGCCAAGACAAAACATACCATTGCTTATCTGTAGAAACCCATGGCAGAAATTACTTGGATTGCTAGTAACCAGAGAGATTATGCTTTATTGAAATGTTATTGGTCTCTATAAATAGTTACAAGGGAATTAACTCACAGGCAATGGTAAACCCATCAAAGTGTACTATCACCAGTAAGTTAGTAAGGATCAACCTGCTCTTGGGTATGGATGTTATCAAAAAGTTAAGCAGAGTACATATCATTGAATTAGGTAATGAGGATTGACAAGCTAAACTTTATCACAGAGTTCAACCAAAACACCAAGGTGTGAACAACATTATGAAAGTGGTTGGATGGCAACTGTAGAATCAAGTCATCATGTATCCTGTGTCTAAATATATTAGAAGCAAGTCTTCTTTTATTGACATGTCCTTTCAGGATGTAGACGATCATGGCTCACCACCTCCTCCTATCCCTTGTAGCTCTCAATAAGCTTGTCTTTTTGTTATTTCTCCCAGATCTTGTTCTGCCATCCACTTACTTAAGCCTGTTAAGTATGTCATATGTTGCTTTTCCTTGTCCCTCTTTCCCTCTATCCACCCTGTGAGTATCAGATTTTCCTAGCCTTCCTTTCTCATCACATATTCCAGAAATTTCAGCTGCCTCTTCCTGATGTTAAGTATAAGTTTCCTCTTTGCTGGCATCCTCTCCAAAACCTCATCATTGCTCACATGTTTAGTCCATGGTATCCTTAGCATCCTTCTGTAGAACCACACCTCTGCTACCTCAAGTGAGGCAGCAGAGGTGTGTGCCTTTGAGGAGATTGTCCAACTGCTATAAAGGAGGACAAATATCATGTAGCAGTTCAATACTCTTTTCTTTGTTAACAACAAAAGCCTCCTGTCTCATAATACTCTGCCTAGCTTTTGGAATGTATCTTTGGCCATCCCAGTGTCTTCGGATCTCAGCATTGCACTTTCTGTCCTCTGTCTGAGTGCTTCCCAGATATTTCAATTTCCATACCTGCTTGATTTTAGTGTTCCCTAAGTACCAACATGAATTGCAGGAGTGGCTGGATAACAGGATTATCTTACTCTAAGGAAGATCTTGGTCCTCTGAAAATTGCAATCCTACAAATGGTTGTTGTGCAAAAGAACAAAGAGAAGGTGCACCACATGTTGGATTATTCAGAGTTAAATGATCATGACAGCACATACAGTTCCTGACAACATTTATGCACAGAAATTAAGAGTATGGGTGCAATGTCTTTGTACTGGATTTTTCAAAGGTCTGCCTACAAAAAAATGTGGCTTACTTAAAAATCATTGTGACCCTTTCAAAATGTAATCTGCAAGGGGTGGAGATACTACTTGAATCCCTTACACCATCAACATTGCTATTCACCCACAGTAGGGAGGCAGTAGATTTGCATCATTTTAGGATATAAATCTGTTCTTATTAAAACAGCTATATTGCAGTAGTAGCAAATATGGCAAGGTGATTGTATATTAATTTTTAAAATCAACATTTAGTTCTAAAAAATATAGTTAGACTAATGTACCAATAAAATGTCCCTTTTTTTAAGAAAAAATGTTTCAATAAAGAGGAACACAAGTGTTTACATAAATTTGCAACTTCAAAGAGGGAACATATCTATTTATATATAAAATTCTGTGACTTCCATTAGTCTGTTTGTCCATCACACCTTCTAAAATAGCCATACATTGAGTGATCAAAATCAAATTTTGGGGAGAAGTGCAAACAGGTAAGTGGGTACAAAGTACAGTTAGTTTTACTAGGGTGCATCGCTTAGTACAATAAATTTTCATTAATATTTAGGAAAAATTAAAAGTTTTATTATTTAGCATACAAAATACTCCCACTATTTTAAAAGCAATTTAATGATTAAAATAACAAATACTTATTTAACAAAAATGCAATATTGTTTTATATATACTTTTTCTTTAAGTTTTTATATATTAAGAGCCACTTAGAGGTAGGTAGCCAGTATGTGATTAACAAATTAAAAAGTGGGACTGTTTCTTATTGATATTATCATGTTTAAATTATATAATCTTCATATGTGTCAGTAGCATAGAGAGTGCTAGTGGTGGGGTGTCCACCCATGAGCAAGTACTTATATGGCAGCTTTTTTGAGTTTGCTATATAAGCCTGTATAGAAAATGCAAGAAAAGTTACTTTCTAGAAAGTTGTAGTTTTCATTTTAGAAATAAAGATAATACTAGTTTTTTAGACTTTTTTGAAGTTTTTCCCTATAAGTATGTTTGGTGTGTATTTAAAGCATACTAGTATATTTGAGTATGTAAAAATAATATTATAACGATACACAAACTAGTTATATGTGTGTGTGTGTCTGTGTCTGTGTCTGTGTGTGTGTGTGTGTGCGCATGTGTGTATGTGCATGTGTGTGTGTGTGTGTGTGTGTGTATAAATAAAATGTTTGTCACTTTGCTGATTGATGCTACCTTCAGCAGAGCCAACTCCAGAGTTTTGTAGACAAACCTGTAGTATTTGGTCCTTTAGTTGTGAGGATGAATGTAGATGGCTTTGATTAGTGATCTGTGTCCATGGATTCAGGATGCTAGTAAGGCCAATAGTGTCTTGTTTATGATTTTGCTGCTTAGATGTTGGGCATCCCTTTTCTCTCCACTAGTCCCTCAATATAGTCTGTGCCTAGTTGCTACCATTTAACTGGGTTTAGTTATACACTACAGGACCCTACAGTAATTACACCATCCACTCATTAGTGGGTAAAAGAAGGATTCACTGTGCAATTTGTTATATTCAAGTGGGGTGCAAAACCAAGGGCTGTCAAAACGATACACATTCTGCCCTGAGCAGAACACACTGAAGCTACACCAGTGATATGAGTATTAATAATGCGTATTGTATGTAAACAACCAATGGAAAAGTCGTTATCATCTTTTGTCAAACCAACCCCAACACTGAAACTGGGTCTTTATCCACAGTTTTGTCATGCATCTGGTGGAATATGGTGTCTATAATCTATTATAAGTTGCAAGAGAAACCATCTCTGTAGATATTATCAGCCAAAGACTGTCAGTGGTATATTACACCAAAAAGGTGCACAGCTTTGGTGAACAGGAATGGCATAATTTTCCTATATGATAGTGCAAAGTTTTACTCAGAATAACAAATCCAAGGAAAAATAAAATCACTAGGTTAGAAAACTTTACCTCCATCACTAGAGAGCATTTATTTTGATCACTAAAATGTTTCTTTGATTTCAAAACATTTAGAAATAAAAAAAAAGCTATTACTATAGGTTTTGGGTTTTGTTTTTTGAAAATCCCCAAGAATATTATTAGTAGGAAATGGAAATAACACATTTACGGAAAAACTGTAATTGCTAATATCTGCAACTATTGTATATCATTTATCAATAAAATTTCGTTTAATTATACAGGGTGCGATGGATAAATTGTCATGTAAATCATGTAAAAATGAAAATAACACTGACATCTCATTTTATTATTTATTCAGTAAAATCAACATTGGTTTCAGATGACTTTGGAATTTCTTGCAACTCTTCTAGATGGTTTCCTTGTTTAAGTTGGTGAATGCTACCATAATCCTTGCCTTCAGTTCATCTTTGGTGCTACAAAGAGTTTTGTTGGTCACTTGCTCAACTGCACCTTACGCATAATAATCAAGGAGGGTTGCAGTCTGGGGAGTTAGGTGGCCAGATGTAAGCGGTGATGTGGTCACAGAAACTGTCTAACAGCAATTGTTCTCCTGCTTGTGTGGCATGACAAAGAGTCCTGTTACCAGACATAGGGTCTTCCAGCAGCCACCCTCTTGACCCAGTGCAGCACTACTTCCTCAAAGTACTTGATGTAGGCCTCTATGTCAAGTCTGAGGCCATTACCAAAAAATTCAGGAGTATTTTTCTTACCAGAATAATCAGAGTGAGTTTTTGAAGCTGTTGTATCTTCATAATCACCATTAGACTCATCCAACTATTTCTGAATCCTCTGCACTGATTGACACCCAATCACTCCAAAATGTTCATATTGGAGCTTCCAGTGTGAATGCCATGCAGTACAGCATGTTGTTTCCAAAATTCTGGCAGAATGAATTGTGTCAAGGTGCTCTTTTTCTTACAGACAGTGCACAACTGATCCTCCTATACTGTGCAGTTGATAAAATTAAAAACAACCAATGCACAACATTAAAATTATAAAATGACGACAATTTACCCATCGCACCCTTTATTTATATTAATTTTATCTCCGTCACTATCGACCTAATATACAAACATCAGTAGCATGACATGGTTCAACTTTATCTCAGGCCTGTCATCAGAATGTTGGTAGGTAAGGGCTGACTTTTAACTCGGTGCAGCTGCAAGTAAGAATTTTCATACTAAAATTAACCCCCACCCTCACCTATTCTAAGTGGAAAGTCAGGTAAAAATGCTCCAGTTGAGTCAAGAGTAGAATTTGAGCAGAATTTCCAAGCAAAACAAAAACATTCTGCTTTATCAATAGAAGTTAACACCTCAAATTAAGTGAAGAGAGGAGGAATAGAAAACTTATGTGTGGGCCATGTGGCCTTGGAGACTTTTTGGGACTTATAAACCTAATGTTTCAGTAACCATATTTTACCAGAGCTCATATTACAATTTTTGCTATTGTTATTTTTCTCTTGCTCTCTGTATTACTGGCTCCCATATTGTATTCATGTCTATTCTTGGCTGGCTTAGGAGATTTTTGTACCATAGCATATGCACTGATTTCATAAGTTTTTGTATTTACTAGCGATATTCTCTGTCTATTATTTCAAACTCATCCCATCATATATGGTCAGGCATGCCTGATTTTTCTATTTTCCCTTGTGTTACAGCTTTATGATGTTCCTTAAGGGGGCGGCCTGGTTCTCCTTTATGTTTCTTGCCACAGCTGCTTGGGATGGCATACATACAGTCCTTAATCATGTTCTCCTCCAGACAGTTACCACAATGTTATAGCAAGCTACCTTACATATACAGTCTCCCTAGGGTTCTGTTTAAAATTCAAATGCATAGCATAATAAGTTTGGAGCATACAATGGCTGAAGCATCACAAATATGTCAATAAAGATGAGGACAACTGTCTGAACAATGTAAATAGTGTAAATAAAACCATTCTATTCATGCTATCATATTTGACTTGTAATTACATTTTTAAAGTACCTAGACACTAATATTTCAGTCTTCCAAATTATTTCATCTGAGCTTCTTTCACACCCATTTTTTCCATTCTTTAATCTTGATTTCTCTATTGAAAATCTCAGATTGGTCCTTTCTTGATTTTCTTTCTCCTCAAATTATAAAATTTAGTGAAGGTTTTCCCTTTTAAAATTATTTTCTGAAGGACTTTTAAGACTTAAAAATAAATTATTCTATGCCTGACAAACCTAATTTTAAATCTGATTCTTTTTTTTAGTTCATTTCAATTCCCTCAGTCAGTTATGTGTCATGTGTGATACATGCTTAGGTGATCATGTATCTTTCCATACATGACCGATGAGGCATATTTTTTCCCACAGTAGGTTGCCATTTCTTTCTGCGGTAGACCAGTTGCTATCGAAGGCTATAGAATCTGGTCTGTCCTGCTATTTACTCATAGCTGGTGGGAAAAGAAGTGGTTTCATACCTTTTCCAAGAGCATTAGTACATAAGTGAATTTAATGGATTCAACTAGAATTTGAACTCGGCTCTCTGATTTCTCAATCCGAGCTGCTATCCATTACTCCACCGTGCCTTCAATTCCCTACACTTTTCATTTAGAGAAAAGTTGGAGACTAATGAACACATTCAAATATGCATTTTGTCTATCCAAGTCCATTCACATCTACTTCAGATGGCATGCAAATTCAACTGAAATTCAGGATTTTCTGAATCTATCATCTGCTGCTTAGGTTTATTTCTTTCTATCTCAGTTTATTAACATCTATCTCAGTCTGTTTTTATCTATATCAGACTTTTCATTCTCTCTCATCCAATTTATTCTATTAACATCTATCTATCTATCTATCTATCTATCTATTTGTCTATCTATCTGTCTTTTCTTTCTATCTTAGTCTATTCAAACTATCTTGCCAGCTAGCTCAAACTTTTAATTTTCTCTTAGTCTTAATATCTATCTATCTATCTATCTATCTATCTATCTATTAACAACTATCTATTGCAATCTCTTAACATCCATGTATCTATCAACATCTACCTATCTATCTCAGTCTATTAACATCTATCTATCTAGCTCAGATTTTTCATTCTCTATATCTCAGTCTATTAATATCTATCTATCTATCTATCTATCTATCTATCTATCTATCTATCTGTCTCAGACTTTTCATCCATTCTATCTCCGTCTATTAACATCTATTTATCTGTCTCATTTATCTCTCCATTGGGTTGGAAACAAAGATTCTGCTCAATCTTTAATAAAAAAAAATATATATAAGGTAGTGCAGAAAGTTTGTTTCCAATACAATATATTTCTTTCTTTCTTTCTTTCTTTCTTTCTTTCTTTCTATCTATCTATCTATCTATCTATCTATCTATCTATCTATCTATCTATCTATCCAACCTTACTCACTGCTATTGCATTCTATATCTTTATATCCCACTCAAATTAAACCTATCTCATAACCTTTGTATACATGTGTGCAACTTGAAATCACTAATATAATGTCTCCTGTTTATGTATTCTGCAGTCTCTTCTGGGTTATCTATTTAAGTATAGATCTCTACCTTTGTTGAGATATAATTTTACTTCATTTTTTTTCTATTTATCTAACATTTTTTTCTTGTTTTCATTAGCATATTTTACATGTGATTGTAACAAACCATTGTTTCACACACACACATATATATGATACACACACAGATACACACATGTACACAGGTACAGTTATTGCTTTTTATGTGAGATTCTCATCAACATTTCTTTTGTTTGTCTCCATCTTTGACCGTCTTACTCTTCTGAATCGTTTGCCTTAGAAACAGCCACAAGATGTGTCATAAAACAAATGCAATTGCATCATTCTCAAATCTGTAGCCGTGTTTGTGGCTTTCATTTCCCCTAAGTGTCTACCTAAGTAGTGCTTATGCTTTCTTTAGGCTTGCCTATCAAATATCAATGCTTCCAATTAAACTGCGATTCAGAGACACATTGTGTCTTCTCAGAACCTTACAAAGCAAACATTTTAAAGAACAAAAGACATGTTTTTTTTTTAGAGAAAAATCAAGTGCATTTTTTTCTTTCCGTGCTTCTAATCATAAGAAATAAACAGGTCTGAGTTTTTATTGGCAGAACATTAAAACTGTAGATTTATTCTAAAGTGAGACATGCTGCAAAAAAAATCAGATTATTGAAAACATTTGCGAATCATAGAGACAAAAATAAATGTTTTTTTCTTTTTTATAAAGTGATTACCAATTGGAAAAGACATACATTTTATTCAACTGATGCAGAATAGGTATGACTGACCAAATGAAATATCACAAATTTATACTTCCTTTTAAAATAAAGGAAAATATTTGGTTTGCTGTGAATGTAAATTACTATATCCTATTTATCTCCCTACTCTACCATTACAAAGTAATAAATGGTAATGGAACAAAGTACAAGAAAGATTGGTTTCATGACTTTTGCATAGGCTAGTAGCATGACTGTGATATAATCAACAACAGAAAAAGTTTTAAATCACAAATATTATTTCTTGCATTGTTCGCTATTCAATTCACAAATCTAATGAATGCTTTTGCTTTTATTATAGCAAATCAAAAAGACATTTAAATCACAATTTTTTCTTTTCAATAACTGAATCAGTTTAAGCATTTGGTCAGAAATTGGAGAAGGTATTTAAATTTGAGTTGGAATATATTTCTTTAATTAGTTGGTTAATATAACAACTATTCTGTAAGATTTATTTCATCCTCCCTAGGAGACTGAGGAATCGGAGAGCCATGTTCAAATACCAGTTGAATCCATTACATGCTAATACCCTTGGGAAAGGTATGAATCCTCTTCTTCCCAACCCCCAGCTATGGATAAATAGCAATACAGACCGGGTTCTATAGCCTTGGATTGCAACTGGTCTACTGCAGAAAGAAATGGCAACCTACTGCAGGGAAAAATCTACCTTGTCAGTCATCATGATCACCTAAGTATGTATCATGCATGGCACATAACTGACTGATACAATAGAAAAACAAAACATTTTATATATTTTAAACATAACTTATAATCATCATCATGTCGTCCTATTTTCACCAGCTGTAGACTGCAAACCCGCATATGATTTAATTCTCTTTTTGAAGAATCTCAGTTACTGTGAGATATTTTCACTGAAATTCAATCAACAAAAACAAGCAAATACATTTCCTCATTAATTCGTCATAAAATTGTTTTTCTTTTTAACTGTACAGCCACTCTCCCACAGATACAATGTTACAAACCTGTCACTAACCTGTCACTTATTTGCATGATAAATGTTTGGATGATGCAATTGCAATTGGTCTCTTCTTGCAAGCATCAATTGCAAGAAGACAGAATACATGGTTGTTAGCAAAAAGGAACAGCCCAACATTAAAAATTGGAGATACCCAAATTAAACAAGTACAACAATTTTAATATCTGGAAAGTGTTTTAATAGAGGACAGAAAATGTAACACTGAAATCCAAAAAACACATTGGGATAATAAAAGATGCCTTCCAAAAGCTAAGCAAAGTATTAAAAAGCAGAAAAATTTCCCTAGGAACAAAGAAAAGAGTACTGAACTCTCATGTAGATATCAGTCCTCCTATACAAGGGGATACAAAATTAAGTATATAATAATGAATAACAAAACTTGCACACAAAACATATTGTATTGATTATTGTGGTAATAAAATAAGCACACCCCATTTTCCCTCTCACTTGTAACTGTTACAATAAATATAATGTTTTTCAGCACTAAACCTGACTGTCTAAAAATGCTTCATAAGCTTCTACTTAGTGTTGTTATTATATTACAATTATACAAACATATCAATAATAAACATATCAATCCCTGAAACCTTTCAAACCTCTTGTCCCCATTATTCACAGGCTCCTCTTTACCTGTAAAACATTTATTTGTTAAAAAATAAAAATTATAATAAATGTATTATAATAAAAAATTATGAAAATAAAAATATTCAAATTATTTTAATGAATTAAATGAATTCTAGAACAACTTCTATAATACTGGTATAATACTTACTGTATACTTACTTTTGCAGCCTCCTGTATAGCAGTGAATGCTGAACAATCTCCTCATAGATGAAAAAAGACTTGAAGTAACAAAAATCTGGTTCTACAGAAGGATGCTGAGAATACCATGGACCAAACAGAAATTGGAAACAAAAAGGACGCATATACTTAAAATCAGAAAGAGTTGAAATTTCTAGGGTACATAATAAAGAAAGGGGGGGTTGGAAAATTTGATACTCACAGGAAGGCAAAAGGAATAACCTATGTAGTGAGTTTGAGTAAATAGATAGTAGAAATGGTTTAGGAGATATAACAAAATAACAAATTTCTTTAGTTCCAATTCAGACTTTGACAAAGATATCAAAGATATATGTGGAGGTCTTCATCATGTGACCCCTGCTCCATATACAACATTCTACAAACCGCTTGTATCAGCAATTATATGAGCCACCAAATCATTTGGCAGTGAACTCTTTTATAAGTATTAGTGAAATTCTAAAATTGAATTTGTCCAGCAAATAACTATTGAACAGTTCTAGGATATAATAAAAATGAAAATAAAAATGTATAACAGAAAAGAACATTTCAAATGTTATGTTAAAAAAACAAAAGTGTTAAAGGATATTATAGGGTGACCCCAAAAAAATGGGAACTTTTTAACAATCCAATAAAAGAAGGAAGAAAAATATTTTATTCATAGTAATTGAAATCTTAAAATATGCCATTTAAGAAATAATGATGGAATTTTCATTTATTTAAAATTACGTCCTGTAGATGGCATCCTGCTGTACGAATACATTCTTGAAATCTGCTGTTGAGATTCCTCATTGACTGCTGCAACATCTCAGCTGGGACACTGTGAATTTCATCTTGAATTCTAAATGGCAAAATGTTTACTTGTTCAAGGTCATTGTCTCACAGTGTTGCCACTTGCTCATGTTGCAATATGCACTTCAAAAATTCCCATTTTTTGGGTCACCCTGTATTTCTAAAATAAATGATCCAAGAAAAAAATTATACTTGTTAGCATTTCAATATAGGAGAAATCATATATTTTACATGTACTTAGCACCAGTGGCATAGGGTGGATTTGAGTACCCAGGACAATTTAAATTATTTCACCTGCTCCTTGTTAATTCTAGTTTCATATGTATTTTCTCAACCTAATTATTTCTTTCCTCCCCCTAAAAATTTAACATCCTGGTCAATCATCCCTCAAGCTCCACCCTCACTACACCATTGCTTAGTACCTAAGCATTTTACATTAATTAAATGATATTTATCCTCCTTTAATAAAATCAGTTGTAAAATAACTAAGCTGACTGTTTGGGTGCAATCTGGATAGGAATTAAAGTCGCTATTTATATACTGTAGATATCAGGAACCTTATAAGTGTTGGACTGTCTGGGAAGAAATGAAGCCCATCAAATTAGTCAATGAATTGATTATCTTAAGAGCTATTTTAACCCTGGCAGTACTAAAGAATGTAGTCATTATAATAGTAATGCTGATAATCATAAGATTAAACACCAGAAAAAAGGGAGATAAATTATGTTCATAATTCAATCAAAAACCCCTTCTCTTCTTGCATAAAGTATTAAAAATAGTTAATCGGTGACTACAAATATACTGATATTAGCAACAGTTAACAGTTTTTCTAATTATAGCTGAAGAACCTTTTATGTATTCAAAATTATTGACTTCTTTATAAAGCTTAACAATAAATGTAATTTTGTCACTATTGTCAAGGCAGATAATTATGAGAACATTTTACTTAGTTTCAAATCCCCCCAAGTAATCATTTGCTTCTGAATGTCATCAATCTTCATTAATCTTTAGCACTTTGTAGGTAACTTCATTCACTAAGCAAAACATTTGTCTTGCCACTGCAGATAATTACTGAATGACAGGCTTTGAATTTTGTAGTTGTTTTGCCATGTCCTGCTATGGCAACACCAAAAATGATCTGAGCTGTATTTGGGAAGTAGAATTAGAGGAAGTAATACTCATGAATAAACCTAAAAAAATTTGGTTTGATGTGAATGTAAGTTACTACATCCTATTTATCTTTCTCTTCTATGATTACAAAGTAATAAATATAAATGGTAATGCAAGAGAGTACTGGAAAGATTGGTTAACAGCATGAGTGTAATATAATCAACAACACAAAAAGTTATGTTAAAGGATAGTTTATATAGATAAAAGGGGAAGATAATGAACAGGTTAAGGCTGTAATGATTGATGAAGCATCCTCTTGGGAGACTGATCCACAAAGCAGTAGTTCACAGGACAAAGCTGTTTGAGTGGAACTCCCAGTGATTAGAGTACTTACCAATAAAGTAAAATGTACCACCATGGTGGATTTGTGTTGTTTTCTGTTGGCAAGAATCTGTTTGAGT